GTTTCATTAGTGTAATAGTAGGAGGGGGAATAGAAAGGAGTAGAATTGTGGAATGTGTTGTTGTCATTCTTTTCTAGAAACCCAAGGTCATCTTTTGTCTATGCACCTCTGCACCTGACCGGAAGCAACTGGGTGGAGATGCCAGCGTGGGCAAAGAAGATTGGACCATGGGATGGATTCATGGGTGTGGGGATAAGATCATGAACTTTCAACTGGGTGGAATCCCAGGAAGTTCAGATTTGGGATTCCACAGCCGTTGCAAACATGTCTGTCTTATTAAATTGGAACTTTAAGGATAGCTCTGCCTTGGACTCTGATTTAATTCTGCATGATATTTGGAACTCTGACAAGCAGTATGTCAGAAAATCTTGAAGAAAGTGTCCAATAATATTCCATGTAATCAGAATGGTCTTTCTTACCCAATGATCTTATCGCAAGCATCATGAGTCCAACTCCCAATGATTTCAGGTCTTGAGGTAGAGATCTAACAAAGAACAAATCAACCATACTAGTAATCGTGCTTCTATAGGGTTTGCCAAAAATCTATAAATGGGCTTCATGTTACAAATAGGTTCACTGATAGAGATGAATCCCTTATATATTTTTCATTCCTGTTGCTGTGCTCAGATTGACACAAAGCAATTCCACAAAGCAATTGGTATATTGGTAGGATTAAGAATGAGGACATTTACTGATTGATCAGTTGGCTTCACAGTGGGATAGACATGGCTACCAGGGCTCTGTGAAACCCAGCCGATATCTGCTTGCCAGGAGGCCCTATGGGGCCAAAGCCACCGTGAAGGGGTGGTGAAGATAGGAAGGACTCTTTGTCGATCGTAAGGAAACGACAATTTCCTTGCTTGATGCAAAGAAAGCCTCCTGACCGGCAGTAGAGACGACGGCCATTATGGCCAGACCAAAGCTGTGACAACTGGGACAAGAAGAATGAGGGCATTTAGAGTGTAATATGCCTTGTGAATGTTGAAAAGTTCAGGTTCGATTCCTGGCAACTTCAGTGAAAAAGATGAGTGTCAGGCCTGCAGCGGTTCCTTTAAGAATCTCTGGCCTGCCACAGTCTTATTAAGGGGGGGATTTAGCAAGGGGTAGAATGTGTTGTTTTCAAAATAA